GAAACACATTAATATGATAGGAATTACATAAAATAATTAAGTATAGACATATTTCAAAAAAATTATTTTAACTATTAAAAAAATCAAAATACATGCAAAGAAATCACTTTCATAGGAGTAAAGTGTGAAAAAAATATATTTTAAGAGAACACAGGTAAAAAAAAAAAAAAAGATAAAAAATACAAATAAAAAAGTAAAAAACAAAACAAAACATTTAAAAAATTAAAAAAGAGAAGGGAATCTTTACAGTAGAGCATGCTATTTTGCTCCATCGGAGTTTGACTCTTGTGAAATTATATGCACGTGAATCAGAAAATAGTGATAACTTAATTGTTTTATTTATCATAATGATTTTTTTTTTGTTTACAATAATGGTTATTTTTACAAGATTTACAATTGTGATGTTTAATTTAGTTAAGTGAGACTCTTTTTATTAATAATATAATCATAATAATAATGATAAGGGTGATTCTATATACAAACGTACACCTTTTTACTCTTCACACCTACACCTTTATATTAAAAAATTTTATGACAAAAATATCCTAACATGAAATGACAAAAAAAAAAAACAATTATAATATACCTAATTATCTAAGTAAAAACCCCTATAAACTACATTTCAACTTTTTTGATGGCACATTATATCCCAAATTATGATTGCTTCCATGAGATGTATATGTTAATTTGTCTTTGTTATTTGTCGTATAACAAAATTTTCTTTTATCTCTTTTTTCGTATTATGCTTATGTTTTCTTTTACCAATTATTTTGTTTTCTTAAGAGTTAATCATTTCATATAACAACGGATTTTTCTTTTATGTCTCTCTCTCCGCTTATGCTCTTCTCTGAGTTCGTTATTTTTTTTTCCTCCATTTTTGTCTTTATGACCAACACCTAAATTGATATAATTATGTTGCTGTTATGCTCATGTTTATGTCCTTTATTTTTCTAAATAAATATAGTAGAGAAATATAGTAAATTTCTCTACGTATGTAAAAAACTTCGTACTCAAAACTTCAAGAAAAAAATAGGGATAAAAAAGTAATAATATTAAGTAATAAGTTAAAATAAAATTTTTGGTATAAAAAGAAAAATAAAGTGAGCAAGAATTGATAATATTATGAAAATAATAAGGGGTAATCTTGGAATAAGAGAGGTGTGTAAGAAGTAAATTTAATCCCTTTAAATTTATGTGGGGTTAAAAAAAAAGTGTGAGGAAATTAAAAAATGGTGTAAATAGAACCACCTAATGATGATAATAATAACAATAATTATACTAATAATAATAATAATAATAATAATAATAAGATTTTAGATGATCATGATGATGACGCCGTTAAGATGGCGGTGACAATTTTAAATTTAGGGTCCGTTCACTTCGCTGATTCGAGTTTGTAATTCGAGTTGAGATGTGATTTTATGTGAGAGCTTTTTACTGTAGCAAAAAAGTTAGATGTGACTGTTTTTTAGAGCTTTTTACTGTAGCAAAACTCGAATCGGTGAAATGAACGAGACCTTAGTCTATAAAGAATAGGAGTTGTCACTTTGCATTGCATCCCATACAACTGAGAATGAAACAAAAATCTCACATAAATTTATCATACCTTGAAACTTGGGTATTTCAAATCTTTTTTTTTTTAACGGTTGTATTCACAAGTGGTTCACGTGAGTAGTTGGTAAAGGGAAAATTTTTAATATTTTAATCACGAACTAGTCATCTAATGACCACACGTGATTAAAACCATTAAAACGTTGATGCCACAACGTGAAAAGTATTATAGTTACAACTTATGATTAATTTGTCAGAAGTTGTGTCATTTTGAATTAAAGGGGAAAAGTTAGACATCCTTATTTTCTAAGAGTCGAATTTAAAAGTGACCCTAATAATAGTAAGAGTTATTCCAATGAAACATTAGTCCCCTAACTATTAGTTTTGACATATCATTTCTTGAGTTATTGTTTTTTAGAAGTTTTGATCATTGACACTGAAATGATAAAAGATATTTGGAAAATATGACAATACTCACTGTTTAATATGGACAAAAGTACTAAGTCAAAGAAAATGTCAGTTTTACCCCAAAAAAAGACAAACAAAATCCATATGTTGACTTTTTCATCGTAGAGAACTTCTGACATTGATCAAACATTACTTTCTTTCAACTTTCAAGAGTCTTTTCTTTTTTTCTCTCCTCCTCTCCTCAAGTCCTTTTGCTTGATTGGTGTGATCTTTTGTGCATACAGTCATTAAATGCCCATTTTGGTTTCTTGTAAATTTGTTTTTCAACCAATTTCTTCGAATTCAATGCTGCCAGCCTGTGATAATGAAAATCCACTAAAGTTGACGTATTTTGCCCCAGATTTTCAGCCTTAAACATGGTAAAGAATTATTAGCAAAAAAAGAAAAAAAAGAAAAAGAGAGAGAATTTCTCTTGCAATTCTGCAAAGATGAATTATTGAAAGACTCTATTTTTAGTCGCATGATATATATTAAAAATTATTTGTTTTGTTTTCTTTTTTAAATTAATGTGTTTTTTTTTTAAATTTAATAATCAGAAACTAATCTGATCGGTAGTGAGGCCCTATAGTAAAAAAGACTAAAAAAATGATAAGGAATTCCTTTTAAGGATTCTTTGGTAATTTGAGAAGGGTTCTTCGTATCCGCCAAGTCTTTTCTGCCTAACTTGAGACTTGGGTGGAGTTTAAAACTTAACAAAAGTGAATAAAGGTTCGGGGAAGGCCGGTGAAACCACACACCCCTACTCTCAAAACACTATTTGACACCCCAAATATAATATTTTTAATTTGAGTTGAAACGTAATTTTATGTGTGAATTTTTTTATTGTAATAAAAAAATTAGATATGACTGTTTCTGAGAACTTTTTATTGTAACAAAACTCGAATTCTAAATTTAAATCGGTGAAATGAACGGGGTCATAAGTGTTATAGAGATTGACATTACACACGTTCTCATTCATCATAAGATTCTTAGGCTAAACTTGGTTTCAAACTACTATTTGACGACAAATATAGACAAAGTCAAATTATGATTTAACCAGTTTGAGTGAACACGTTTGTGTAACTTGATACCTTTCATATTCCTTTTATCAATTTTATTTTGAAATTTAATTCAATTGATAAGTTGCTCTCTAAACTTAATTGTAACAAATTATTCTCGAACTTAATAAGATATTGTATAATAGCGTTAAAATTGATGAATGTGACTAATTTAGCAAAAATAAAAATAAATAGAGATTGATATTACACGCAAAGAGACAATTCGTTTTAGGTTCAAACTACTATTTGACTACAAATGATAGAAACAAAGTCAAATTATGATTAATTGATTTGAGTGAACACATTGGGTATAACTCAATGCTTTTCAGATTTCTTTTATCGACTTTGCTTGGAACTTTAACTGAATTGATTAGTTGTGCTCTAAGGGCCCGTTTAGTTCGCTGATTTGAGTTTTTAATTCGAATTGAGATGTGATTTTATATGAGAGCCTTTTATTGTAGTAAAAAAGTTAGATGTGATTGTTTGTAAGAGCTTTTTACTATAGCAAAACTCGAATTCTAAACTCGAATCAACGAAATTTTTAATGATGGTAAATTATTTCTGACTTGGGACACCAACTAAAATTTTATATGTGTACCAATTGATGTGACATGTGAGTTGTTATTTTTACATTAGTATGTGTTTAAAATATTGCTACATCAGTTAATGATAATATATTACATTTATCATTAAAAAAATGACAACTCATTGCCACGTAAGTTAATGCATAAAAGTTAATATTTGAATTGGTATCCCTAACAATACTCTTAATAAATTATTGTAGAAATTATCAAAATTGATGAATGCGGTTCAAAATTGGGAAAGAAACACCTTCATGCTCATAGGGTGACATGCTCTGATTTTCATTGCAATTTCAATTTATTCTTTTAACACTCATGTTATGTGTACGAGGGAGTCTCTTTTCAAATTTCAAAAATATCACTGATTTCAAGTACTTCGCAACATTTTCATTAAATTTAAGAAGTATTTTTTTTCAAAATGAGAATATTTTGAGATTAACTTGTTAATCATAAAACTTTCAGAGAGATGCACCAAGTACCTAAACTTTTATGTTAAATTGAAAAGCTTATTTAGTTCGCTGATTCGGGTTGAAATGCGACTGTATGTGAGAGCTTTTTACTGTATCAAAAAAGTTAGATGTGACTATTTTTGAGAACATTTTACTGTAACAAAACCTGAATTCTAAATTTAAATTGGTGAAATGAACGGGATCAAAATGTACACTCATTCAAAACGCGGTTTTATAAGAAAAAGCAATGAGAGCACTAGTTTAGTGTTAGACAAGAAATAAACAAAGTGGAATGTTTATTGATTATTTTTAAAACGCAAGTCAACTAATTTGAGTGAACACTTGTGGATCAAATCTCCTCCATACTAATGCTCATTCTCAACTAAGAAGAAACTTTATAAGAAATGCGCCTTCATCTAGTTGTCTCTCTTACCCTTTATTTTAAGTGTTGAATAAGAGGACCACAAAGCCACATGAAGAAGAAATGAAATGGCAATTCATATTTTGTAGCCTAAATTACTCTTGCTTCTCCATGATGTGACCACGTGAATATACCAATGATGGATAGAAATTAGAAGCTCAAACGATCCTCATTCGTAAGCAAATCAATCCTCTCTCTCTCTCTCTCTCTCTCTCTCTCTCTCTCTCTCTCTCTCTCTCTCCTGAAATGGTTCTAGCAATTACCTTCTAGGTGGAGGGTCACTTGTGGGTGTTAGATATGATTGTGAAATCCAACCCAACACGAAAGAAAAAAAGGGCCAATCTCATCACCATTTAACCCCAATATAAAAGAGGAAAAAGAACCAAAAATCAAACCCCTCCAAGAGACAATGAAATCAAATTCTTATCATCAGCTACCACATTAGAAACAATAATTTAACAAAAAGAGAGGAAAAAAAAAAAAAAGGAGATTACCTAAAACAATAATAAGCTGACCCATCAATGAGTTTAGTGATAAGCCATCTTTCTTCCATTTTGCAATTTCTAAACCTTCTAGAAGCTCTAGCTCCAATTACATCAAATTCCCTTTCACTTTCCTACTCAATTGCTCTTGTGGAAGAAAGAAGACAGTGACATTGACAAAAGATGGATCCTTTTATTTTTTTCTTCTAAAATCTCTCCAAGTATTAGAAATCTAGAACTTTTTTTTCTTGTTTTTTTTTTTGGCACTGACTCACTCATTGAGATCTCCAATACTTGGCCATTTCAAACCCATTCTGGGAGTAATAATAGTCCTGAATGGTCTGATCAATCTCAGCTTGTGTGTTCATCACAAATGGACCGTGCTGAACCACTGGCTCATTCAGTGGCAGCCCACCAACCAGCACAAACCTCAGTGGCTTTGACGACTTGTTCCACACACTTAAGCCATCCCCAGGACCCAAGACCAGGACATGGTGGGCTGAAACTGGGGATGAATTTAGGGACCCAAAAACTCCCTCTCCTTCAATCACATACACAAATGAGTTCCATGATTCTGGGATGCTTTGGTGAATTTGGGCTCGCGGTTTTAGAGCGAAATCCAGGTACATTGTGGGAGTTCTTGTGTAGACTGGAGACCTTATTCCCATTGATTCTCCTGCTATGACTCTCACTTCTACTCCATCTCTCTCGGTACTTGGTATCTCATCACTTGAGAGTTCTTGATATCTTGGCTCAATCCTTAACACAAAAGAGCAGGGAAAAAAAAAAAAGAAGGTATATTTGTATCAAATATAGAAATTTGGTAAAATTTCCTTAAATCATGTTTGGATCAAATTTACATGAAGGTGTCAACTTCTTGGATCAAGGTTTATGAGTGAGGAAAATTTTAGCCCAATTGTCTAACTAAAAGTAAGGAAAAACTATTGATAAGACACAATTCTGAACTGTTAATCGCAGCATAATCATATCGACAGCTTAACGAAACTTGATGAAAATCTGGAGGTTTAGAACTATGCTTACTAGAGAAGGAAGACATTTTGAAAATGTTTCTTACATTTTGTCTTTAGAGGAAAGATTGATCCAAAGCTGCAAACCCGTTTGGGGTCCTTCTCCCGCAGGCATTTCGGAGTGGATTATCCCTCTGCCTGCTGTCATCCACTGCAAAAACAAAATCAAATAAAACAAGATGAATTAATATTAATAAGAAGCTCAAGTCATTTGTTGATCTTGACAAAACTCATTCAAGAGATAAATAGAAGGGCCTTTTTTTTTATTTTTTTATTTTTATGTGCTAGAAAAAAGAAACTACAATTTGCTCTTTACCTGTACATCCCCTGTTCTGATTGTACCTTTATGTCCAGCAAAGTCTTGGTGAGTAATAGCTCCCTAAAATCCCCATTAAAAAATATATATATATATTACTTCACAATTGAACTTTCTTTTCCCACTGTCTTAAACACATGAAGTTTCTGGGGACAAAAAAAAAAAAAAAAAAAAGACACAAAACAAGTCTTACCTGTAACATGTATGTAACAGTCTCAAAACCTAATAGACAAGTGGCACATCAGAACATAACCCAAATCAAATGTTTTTTTTTTTATTTAAAAGAAAAAATCCCACTACAAAAACTGATTATGGAGACAAAAAAAGTACAAAAATAGCAATGAAAATGGAGGAGATGAATAAAGAACCTCTGTGTGGATGGTCAGGAAATCCAGCTGGTGGACTTACTGCAAGATTGAAAATGTCGTTAGCCAAAGTAACAACGCATATTATATTCCCCTAATGGACATTTGAAACATGAAAAGAAGCACAAATTTTCATTTTTGCTATACCTGAAAAATCATCCAGCATGAGAAAAGGATCCAAGTTCTTCAAATCACTCCTGAAAAAGTTTTGACCCAAAACAACAATCAATAAACCAGATTGGAAGAAGTAAAATTGAGAAGAACCCATGAACCCAAATTTTCTTTTTCGAACCCGGGTGGGGGGATTGGAACTATTCACCATTAGGCCATATCTCTAAAAGAAAAAAAAAAAGGTTCAAAAAAAAAAAAAACAAAAAGAAAAGAAAAGCCCATATAAAATTTACCTTCCAATGCCTCTTCTAACGACAGCACCATCACCTTCATGTTGAAGCTTGGCCAGGACCTTCTTGGCCACCAATCTGGGTCTGTTAAAGGCAGGGCTTTGGTCTGGTTCAGACATGGTATTTCTGATCAAGAAAGGAACTTTTGGTAATTTTGTGTTATAAAATAACAACTTTTGTGTTATGGCTCTCATAAAAACCTTCTATATTCACCTTTTTGGATGCGGGTATTTGAACGAGCTTCTTCCATATATATAGACACACGCACGACGACATTGAAGAATATGGAAAGAAATAGAAGGATTTGAAGAAGCAGGAAAGGAAGGCTTTGAGGTTAGTTGGTTGGGTCTGACATGGGGAAGTTGGATGGAGGCGTGAGGAAAATATGGGGTAGGACCCACTTTTCCTTTCTTGGACCCACGATGATTAATGATGTCAACCTATTGTCATGGTGATGATAGGAGTTTTTTTTTTTCCCAAAAAAACAAAAAACAGAAATGTTAAAAAGGAAACGAAAGGAGAACAGACTTTTTTTGGAAGTCAAAATAGTTATTGGTTTTTTTTTTTCTTTTTAAAATTTTTTTTGGTGTTTTTTTAGAACACCTGTATTTTCTACTTATTAGTGTTTAGATTTGTATTAAATATGTTCAAAATTTAAATTAAATTAAAAAAATAATACAAATTTAACGATTAATAAATTAAAAACATTAATGCTCCTAAAAAAAATAAACACCAGAAAAAAATCTTATTTTTTTCATCGTCTCAGTTGAAAAGCATTTACACTTTTATGATCTCTTTTTGGCACAAATATTTTCTCCTAGAGATATTGTAGATCTTTTTGTTTTGGACTTTCTTGTTCTTTTATTTGGAACACTAGTATTCTTTACTTTTATAAAAATTTATTTATTCTGCACACTTTTTAATATGATGTGATTTTGATCAGATTTAACAGTTGAAAAAGTAAGAAATACCGGTGTTTCTAAAAAGAAGAAAACACTAGATAAACTCTTTTTTTTTTATAAAGACTTCAATAGGATTTGACTCGAACTTTAGGTAATTATCGTACAAAAAAAAAAAAAAGAAACGATTTCAGCCGTTGAAAGAAAGTGATCAGTCAGAGAAAATAATTTTGACTCACAAAAGAAAGTTAAAAATGCTTAGGGGTATCACCGATGCTAAGCACTACATTAATAAAAGGTAGCCTCCACCAATATATTTCACGCTGTGAAACCCACCTTCTATTAGTAGATGGTGTTTAATATCACCGATGTCTTATAATAATACTAAAAAAAAATTATCGACTAGAAATAATCTCACTTTTTTTAACTACTTTCTTTTCACGGTCAAGATCTTTTTCATAATCTAATGATTAAAATTGAGCAACATAGCTAAAGAAATTGAAACGTGTCACAGTTTTCTCCTAAACTTTAAAGGAAAGGGAAAAATGTATAAACAATTAAGGTAATAGAATTGTTTGTATTGGCCATAATTTTTAATTAATGATATGATGTGTATTAGTTTTTCACTGAAAGATTTTCGACTTTCTTTTTTTAAAAAAAATATTTCGAAGGTTCTTGTTTTAGTAGATATTTAGTTTATGGATTTAGAATTATGATTCAGAACCATTTTTAGTTTACGTGTATTTTTTTGAGAAAAAATATTATAACGAGCCACAAATCATGATTCAAACCATGACACGAATCCTCATACCAAACTAGAGTTTTTCTGGTGTTTTTTCTTTTTTAAGAACATCGGTGTTCCCTGCTTATCAGCCGTCAAATTTGTATTACCTTTTCAATTTGATTTTACTTTTGACCAGATTTAATATAGATATGACAGCTAATAATCAGGAAACACTAGTGTTCTTAAAAAAGAAGGAACACCAGAGAAATCCTTTTTTGTTTTTCGATTGTCCATTAATGGAACATTCCAAATTAGTTCTGATCATAACATTTCTTTAAAAGGGGGTTTCTCCGGTAATCTCAGTTTTTTAACTATTGAATCTGATTAAAATCACATCATGTTAAAAAAAATATACAGAATAGATAAATTATAATATAAATTTAACCGCTGCAAGATAAAAGACTATAAGTAGGCAATTTTTGCAGAGACTAACAAAGAAAGTCTCTTATTTTTAACCTATTTTCTTTAGGGAGGCTGAAGAATATTAGCTGCCCCTTCAAAAACAATAAAAAAGAAAGGAAGAAGAAGAAGAATATCAGCTGAAGTTTGGATTCACGAAAAAGGTGGACGAAGATTCAAATAGTAAAAAATAAAAAAAATAAAAAAATAAAGTAAGAAGAATACAATCTGTAAAAAAAAATAAAAAAATATCATTTAAGATGATAAAAAATTTTATTTATGTCACTCTATTAAAAAATAAACAACTGTTATTCAATTAATTAAAAAAAAACAGAAAGACATACTGACATTTAATTATTTAAAATGCCATAAATAATAAATTTGTACAAAACGATGACAAACTATATATTTTTCTTTTTTTTAAGGTAAACTGTGTACTTTTCTCAATACAATACATACGTGTATGTATGTATGTAAACAAATCATATAGATTCTTAAATATTTTCTTAATCTCTCAGATGAGGAGAGTTTTATTTTCTTAGATCTTCAACTCTTAAAATTAGTATTACTGTCCAAAAGTGAGTTAGGATCAAATTAATTAAGGCAAGGAATGTTTCAAAATCCAAAAGAAAACAAGGCAGAGACTAAAATGGAGTTCAAAAAGAATTTGATTTATAATCTAACAAATACGTTGTTTTTTCTCCTAAAAAGAATCCTTTCTTTTTCTTTTTTCTTTTTTTTTTAGAATGAGAGGATACATGTTTAATTATATATAAGTCTGAAATCTTTGGTAATTGCGGCTTTCACAATTAAAAGTCTTAAGTCTTGTTCACTTTACAAATTCGAGTTGAGATGTGACATTCTTTGAGAGCTTTTAACTGTAACAGAAAAAATTAAATGTGATATTTTTTAAGAGCTTTTAACTATAAAAACCTAAAATTTAAAATTCAAATCGATAAAATAAACGAGACCTTAATAATTTGTTCAAATATGCACTCGATAGCTCTGGAAAAATTAATAAAGGGGAAAATAACCCACAATTCAAGGAGGGGAAAAAAAGACGTAGAAGCCAAATAGTTTTCAGACACAAATTTAGATTGCCTATGTTACTGTAAAACATATGGTGGTTCTAACATACACCTTTTAATTTAAAATTTCTTATCAATTCAAGACCATACGAGGTGCAAAAATTTTAAATTAGGCCATTTTTTAAGTGAAAACTTGCCTTATTGAAAAGATGATAAATCAGCTTGTATAAAACACTTGATAAATCTAAGACAAGATGCAAACTAAGGTTTCGTTCATTTCACCGATTCGAGTTTTTAGTTTTAGATTTTTACAGTAAAAAACTCTCATAAAATGTTACATCTAACTTTTCTGTTACAGTGAAAAGCTCTCAGAAAATATCACATCTTAACTCAAATTGAAAACTCGAATCCGCGAAGTGAACGTGGCTTAAATACATCAGATGACTTCTTTTGGGTTGATGTAATTTTATTTTGTTTTTCTTGAGCTTTGGTATCTTTTTCATTTTATTTTAATAAATTAAATAGGGTTAATTAGTATAGGATAAGTTTGGTAATGGATGTGCCAATTTAATTGAGATTTACCTGAAAACTTTAGAATGCACATCAAGTTCTATATATACATTGGAAATCTAGTTTGTTATCTACCCACATATAAAGAGAGAATGGGTTTTTAAATGTTGTTAACGAAACATTTCGTTCACTTTTTTTTTTTTTTTTTAAACGTACCTTCTTTCTTTTTCTTTCTAACTTTCGTCCCTTTTCCTTTCTTTCTTTTTTTTTATCCTCCCTTTTACATTTTTATCTTTTTTTCCCTATTATACTTTAATCTTTAATTTTCTATTTAAATAATTTCTTCTCATACATATCTCTGTCTAACTTTTTAAAATTATGCTCTTCCG